CACGCGGATATATATATATGTTCATATACGTATATACGTGTATCTGTACGCACGAGGTATTCGCGGAAAGGCCGACGGAATGGCGACCACGTCGCCGGATTTTTTTCCGCGACGGAAGAGACGTGCTCCTCGTTTTTCCTTCCGCCATCTTTTGTCGACGCCGCGACGAGGATGGGTTTTGTTTTTCGGGGTGGCGCACCCCCGGCGAGATAATAAATTATTAGCTGACGTACTTGCTTTCCTGGATTTTTTCTCTTCCAATCGTGCCGAGATCGATGATGAAGTGACAGATGCTTTCGGGAAATATTTCGCGACAGTGAATCTTATAAAACAGATCTGCTACTTAAAAAAATAATTTTGCATTAAAATTTTATTGTATTCAATTGAAGTGTATTATTCTCTTGATTTAGCACTATTGCTAAAATAAATTTATGTGTGCTCGATTAGATTGTTTAGACTAAATAATGATGAGTAGGGTTGTAACTCGATTTATGAGCACAAAATTATACAAGTATTCCTATCTTATATTATATGTAAAGTACATTAATAGAATTAGAGGATCATTTTTCTAGAAACCAAATAATTAAATTATGTTCTTTCCCCTATTTAATTTCATAAATGTTTCACGCATATTTAGTTGTACGAAGTAAAATACTTTTCATTAAACAAGTGTTATTATATAACACCAGATAATAGAATTTTAAGTAAGATCACTAATTAAAATGTATTAAAATAATATGCTCCCACAAGCACTATAGAGAAGAGAAAAGTATTTGATTGCGACGGTGAAAAGACATCAAAAAGCAATCGCAATAGAGAGTACACAAAACAACTAATACCGCCGAGAAAGAGAAGCGAACTATTGCATCTATTCGTTTGCATCGCTGAATGTCCTCCGGGAACTAGGAAGGCGCGAGAGGATGGGTCAGGACGGAGGGCGATTCGAGATTGGGAAAAGGGAACAGGCGCTCTCTCCTTTCGCCGCTTTTCATTCTAATCCAAGTGCCCTGTCGTCGAGAGGATTTTTTGCATTGTACCCGCAGATTTCCCATAGGAGGGTAACCGTCAGATTTCGCCTGGCATTGTTTCACAGAAGCTGTCGCTCTCATCCTCTCCTCTCCTCTCCTTTCATTCTCTCTCTCTCTCTCTCTCTCTCTCTCTCTCTCTCTCTCCCTCTCCCTCCCCCTCTCTCTCTCCTCTCTTTCTATACGTATGCGCGCGTGTATACGTAAGCTAAATAGGGTCGAAACTCGTTTTGAAGTGTAGACTCCCAATTGATTACTCGTCGACAACGAAAAGACGGCGTAAAGGGGTTGCACGATAAGAAAACACTGCGAAACGTTCACTCAATCATTTTACGTTCGGCAATTTATATCTATGAGATTATCTAAATATCGCTTTAACACATTACTTTATGAATTTATTTTACTTAGATATCGAAGAGGTTTAAAATTAATGTCGTTAAGAGATTCCTAAAGTCATCTGTATTACCGACTAAATTATATAATTTTTGTATAACAATTACTTTTTTCCTCTTTTATAATTCAAAAATCCTTTTATCCTGCAAGAATGCATTAATATGTGTCTGTGAGATGGAGTTTATGCCGAGAACGACAAAAAATTTTTTTTAAGATTTAAATTTCAAAATTTTGTCTTCATCAATCATTCTTGACATAAACTCCATCTCACAAACTTCTCACGTATTAATGCATATATTTTAACTCTGAAAGAAGATTTTCAAATCTGTAAAGAAAGAAACAAGTAATTGTTATACAAAAATTATGATTTAGTCGGTAATACAGACGACTTTAGAATCTTCTTAAGGTATATCGTTATTAATATCTATTACGAAATAGCAGACTATAAGAACTACACATTATAAGAAACTTGTTGCATTAATCACTGTTGTAATAATATTATAATAATATAATTTAATTATTTGGTTTATAGAAAAATGGTCCTCTGATTCTATTAATATTTTACATGTAAGATATTGTATATAAATATTTGTATAATTTAATTTGTGCTCATAAATCGAGTTACAACTGTATATTCATCATTGTTTAATCTAATATCACTAAAAATGTTCATTTAAAATTTCTCTTCCCAAAAATAAGAAACAATTAGATACAATAATTAAAATAATAAATATAGAAATGATCCACACTCTATACAGAATATTTTATAATTTGCCTCCGCCAATGATTTACATGCACAGAAAATTTGTCTTAAATTTAACATAAATTTAATTTGTGACATTTCACGTCCTAAACAGTCCAACCAATTTTTATGTTAATCACAAAATGAATATGTTAGAAAGTAATATAAACCGACACACAAACATTACGTCGAAATAAACACAAAAATGCAACACTGATACAATTTGAAAACATATTTCTTTAATAAAATTAACGTTTATAATATATTTAATTAATGCGTACTGAGAAAAAAGTTTTAGTATTTGTAACTATAATTGTGTTTGACTTGTATGTCATAATTATAATTATTATTACTGAGTTAGTAATAATAACTATATATATATCAACAAATATATATAGCTGGTAACCGAAAATGACTATAATTATAGTTATTATTACCATAAAAATGGTTTGAAATTACATAGTCACTTTTATGATTATCAACTATATATATTTGTTAATAGAATTATATATAGTTGTTACTATAACACTACAGTGGTAATAACCATAATTATAGTAACATGTAATTATAGTTACAAATGCCAAAAATTTTTCTCTCAGCGAGTACGTTAATTTTTTATTCATTTCTTCTTAGAATTAATGGATTAGAAATAATAAATTTATTTTTTATAAATCCACTATTATTTTTATGTTATTTGTTCACTTATTTTTAATTATGTCATTCTAATATTAAAAAATATTGATTTAATACAAAATATTTAAATAACATAATCACACTTTATTAAATTAACACTCAAGTATGTTAAAAATTCAACACAAAAATTTAAACAAAAATTTACTACCAGTACTAAAAATCTGTAGTGCACATATAAACGTAAATTTTTGAACATATAGTCCTGCAAAGACATTTAACACTGAGACGCTTTTACTTCGGAAAAGCAGAAAGTGAAAAAGCAGCAGCTAGAGGGGAAGGGTGTGAAAAAGTGGGGTTGAAATTCTAAAGGATGAGCCCGATCTCAAAAGATTTTTATTTATTATTATAGAAGGTGGAGTGAAGGTAAAATACCAGCTTTCATTAGCTACTAGCTGTAGCTAATGAAAGCCTCCACTCCACCCCCACTCCACCCCCACTCCACCACAACGCAAAGCAACGTTCTAAAGTAATTCGCTGTTCTCCAATAAAAACTTTTTAAGACCAAACTGAGAATTTCATCCCCACTTTTTTCTCCTCCCTACTTACAGTCTATGACATACATATATGTATATTATAGTCCATCGACATAAGTACAGTTAGCGATTAAAAGGTTGCAACACTTTTCTTTTAGATGGGCTTCAAAATGTAAACATAATGTAACATAACAGTAATAATAACAAAAAAGGCAATATTCACAAATAGTGAATATTGCCGATTTTTCTTGATTAAAATAGCAAAATATAAAATATTTTTTAATTGAAAGATCAATTTAAATCTATAGGTATACCCTTAGGTACTTCCTTGCTAAAGCTAGGAAAGTTCAAAAACGTCAAACATAATTTCATTCTGTAGAAAATGAAACATTATACAAAACAATTTTATATACCAACAAATTTTTGCGCCAGTTTTGATTATTCATACAAAACATTTCTCACAATCGGTGTAAGTGAAAACAATGGTTCTGGTAAAATTGAAGTATAATGTTAAAATCAAACGAAATTATGCATAGTATTACACGAAGCGGTTGATTACTTGCATACAGAAACAAAAAAATTATGAACATCTTTATTTGATCTCTCGTTTCTTTTTTATCGCAATTATTGCGCGACGTAGCCCCGCGGTTGCGACAGTACTCGAACGAAGCCAGTCAATAACGGCCGGTCTATGCGCTATTTGTACTTCGTCCTATCGAGGTAATCGATAATAATAATTGCAGTCCGTGCGATATATCGCGTCGAAGTGGCCTGCTCCCAGCTCCGTCGCAGGCAGCAAAGTAGGGTGACAGAGTGCGACGAAGTGGGACGAAGAGCAGCGGAGTTACACGAAAACTGAGATACGACGACCAATGGTGCACGAGGGGCCGGTCGATGGGTGGTCGACGAATTAACCGGTCGACCTTCGAAGAGGACCGGTGAAGCTACGCCCATAAACGTGGTCGCGCGTGGGGTACGTAACGGACACGACGGAGAAGGAAGAGATTCCCTAGAACTCGAGAAGGACAGTGGCAGCACAATGAGTCAGCTGTGAGGTACGGAAGGCACAGCAGTCACAACAGTGTATACCCTGCTACTAAGCTAACCTCAAGATGAGCACAGACAGAAACAGTTAGGAAAAAGATGTGCAGCGTTCGATCACAGTGATAAAACAATAGTCTGTTGAAAAATTGAATCCATCATTGGTTTCTACTAATTTTTTAGTGCAAAAACATAATATGTTTTGTTATAACAGTGATGAAGAACGAAAAGGCATCTTGATATAACCCTTGTCCTTTAGATTTGACAAATCTAAGTGAAAAAAAAAAAGAAGAAGAAGCATTACATTCGTGAATTAATAATTAAGAAGAATCACCCGAAGATTATTTCTGTGAAAATGTGCAATATATGTATACAGAAAAAGATGATATCAATTTGTGATTAGATTTCTTTTTTTGCAAATATTTCAAGAAAATTTGAACCTAGCAAGCAAGGAGACAGTATTTTTCGTAAGTTAATAAAATTAGTTAGCCATTGAGTGCGAGAACGTGAAGTGGAAGAACTCCATAATCAAACAAAAATTATTAGTTTGGGTATTAAAATATCCACCAACGAATTTATGAATCTCATATATCACATATCAGCGCATGATCATTTCACGTTCGTTAAGTTTGCATGTTACGTTCGTTATGTGTGCGTGTTAAGTTTGTAAACAATCCCGAACGAATCGTTTAAACGTTATGAAGGATTTATGTCGATTAAGATGCTAAAGCATAGTTTAGATCAAGAACAAGTATCGTACAATCCAGTCTCAGTCAATTTAAATTCGGACGCAGATTCAAACTATAGATTCGACATACATTCATCGTCTTTGCATTCAATGTATCATCCGTTCTCCAATATAATGTCACCTGAAGTTATAGACGCGAGTGATATCAAGCAACGGACACCTGCGCAACAAGAGATACATATTAAGAGGCCTATGAACGCGTTTATGGTATGGTCTCGTGAGAAACGGAAGTTGATTTCTCAAGAGAATCCAAAGATGCACAATTCGGAGATCTCGAAGATGCTCGGCGCAATGTGGAAGGAACTCACCGAGGAAGATAAAATTCCTTACATCGAGAAATCGAAGCGTCTGCGTAATCAGCTCCTAAAGGATCATCCGGATTATAAATACCGGCCTCGAAGAAAGGCCAAAAAACTGGATCAATCTAGAGTCATGGGCTTATCTTCGAGACATTGCACTAGTTTTCCTTTATCGCCTTACGGTACGCCGATCGTCAATCCTTCGGCCATAGCTCATGCGCTGCCCTACTATCCGTATCCTAGGTCAGCACGTTTTAAGTTGGCGGACTCAGATGCGTTGTCTACGTCAATGGTTTCAGCTGATGGCAACAACAACGCATCCTTGGACGTCACTAGCTTATATCAATTTTATTCTTCGATGGCACCGGCAGTTGGTAATCCGACATTGGCGCAGCATCACCTGAACTCGTTCTTCCCGACCAGCCATCATACATTAGGAACCAACAGTCTCCATTCCCATCTAATGTTGCCCTCGACATCCGAAGGTACAGAAAGCGATAAATCCATCAACACTTATGATGCCAACCTATCACAATCTACTTCGTTATCGATGCATTCCCAACTGCATGAAGCACCAACACCGTCTGGATCATCTGCGTTGGATCCTGATTGGTATAGATACAATCCGGTAAAAAAATTAATGAAAATAATATTTTTTTAAAATTATGCTTTATTTGTACGCTTTATATTTATAATTTCTCAACTAATTTGGATTCCAAATATTGTGAATGATGAAAACTTTCATTGAATTCTAATCCTCGTTATTATAATAATTTATTTCAAAAAACATAACACAATCTATTCATCAAATTGCTCTGTGATTTTGTTTCTTTACAGAATATTTTTCTTTTTAAAATTTCTCGTACGCTGCTAGATTAAGAATATAAATTCGGGATTTTCAGTCTGTTAAAGAAAGAAAGAAATAAGAAAGGAAAGAAAAATTAGAAGAATTATAAATCTCAAACAATAATCTGCAATATACATGTTGTTTATTATTTTCAATTAATAAAAAATAAAATAATAAAAAATCAATTAATGAAGAATCAATTAAAAAAAAATTGCTCTGTAACTGATTTAGTCTTATCTGATAGTTTTTAAGCTAACTGTCGGCAAAACCGTCGCGCCGTTAACGAGGCAGATAATTGAATTAGCATATTAATGCGACGAACAATGGAATCGTTTAGGCCCGGATTCGTTTTGTCTTGTCCAATGGGTTTTATTGCAGAATACGGTTCTTGATGAATAGCCACAGCCTAACCCCTTTCACAATATCTCATTTTGTTTGCAAATAATGTTTCCTAATTGCAGATGCACTTTTAACTTAGTCTGTAACAATAATAACTTTTGGCCAAATGTGATAAATACACAAAAAAAATTATACTGATAAAAAGAATGTTATCTGTACAGTGCAATTATAATATTTAATTGTATGAACTATATTGCATTGCACTGAATTCATATCGAATCCGTAGTTCGAATTTGCATTCGAATTGACTGCGGCTGAATTATGCGATATTTGTTTTTGATTGATCTGAATTATACTTTAACATCTTTATGCGCAGACAGAGCATCTGACTATGTGTGTGTGTGTGTGTGTGTGTGTGTGTGTGTGTGTGTGTGTGTGTGTGTGTTTCGAGAAAAATTATATAATTATTAAATCTAATAAAATCTAATATTTACCGCGAATAGCTTCTATACATCAAAACTTTATAAAAAAGTTTTAGCTATTTTAACTCTTTCTTTTTTTATATCAATTTAATCTCCTTCATTTAATTGCCAAGTAGTTTTTCTTTATTACACACAAAAGTATACAAATCAAAGTATATACATATTCCTATTTATATATACTTTTGATATATCATATTTATTCGTCAAATTTCCTCTGTCAAAATATATTTTGATAAAGAAACATTTTTTAATATTTTTTATATTTAGAATATTGTTATCTGTTTAATATCTCTTTTACGATTGTTGAATATTATACAATATATAGAT